GTTTATTTTATAAGAACACGTCACGGCCTTTAAATATTCGGATTTTATTTGAATAATCTTATTTTTAAAGCTATTCTTTTTTACAATGTAACTGAGGACAAAAAAACCATTAAAATCAAACGTAGCCGACGTTTTAATAACAGATTATAAAATCACTATTGGGAATTTTGTTGAAAGGATATCCATTTCAAAAGCCTTACACCGAGAGCATCTTCATAATGAAATATGAGGAAAAACCATTTTTTTCAAAATTTGGGTGAAAACTTGGACTATAGCCTTGGCTTTTCGGTGAAAATATGAATTTTTTTAGTAAATTCAAAAAAAGTGATTTTTCGATGGAAAATTAATAAAAAATAGCGGATAGTGCTTATTTTGTCGGAAAAGTAAAAACTGAGACATTATAGTATTATCGAAAAATATTATGCCACGTTTAAGTCTATAAAAAAAATAACTTTAGGTAACCGAGATAAAAACAACCCAAAAGGTGGAGCTTATTTTATTAGAAGACGTCATGGTACTTCGTTTGAATAATCTTATTTTTAAAGCTGTTCTTTGTTTACAGTATAACTGACGACAAAAAAACAAGAACAGTAATATCGAAGCTAGCCGAAATTTTGATAGGAGATTATGAAATAAGTATTGGGAATTTTTGTGAAAGGATATCCAATTTGAAAGTCTTACATCAAGGGCATCTTTGATTTCAAATATGAGTAAAAACAATTTTTTTCACAACTTCGGGAAAAACATGTAGCCTTGGCTTTTTTGTGAAAATTTGAATTTTTTTGAAAAATGGAGAAAAGTGCTTTTTTAACACAAAATTAAAAGAAAAATATCGAATAGTGCTTATTTCGTCGGTAACATCAAAATTGAGACATTACAACATCAATGAAAAATGTCGTGTCCCATGAAAATCTAAAAAAAATGAACTTTCGTTAACCCAGAGTGAAAACAATCCAAAAGGTGGAGTTTATTTTATATGAAGACGTCATGGTCCTTTAGATGTTGAGAATTTGTTTGAATAATCATATTTCTATATCTATTCTTTGTTTACAATATAACTAAAGACATAAAAAAGAGTAACATAGAAGATAGCCGAAATTTTTATAACAGATTATGAAATAACTATTGGGAATTTTCGTGAAAGGATATTGATTTTCAAACTTTTAGATGTCTGTAAGTTTTTTTTATTACTATTGACGATTGAATGTGTCATATGAACTCACACGTTGCCCCTTCACTAAAATACGTAGTTATCTCAATGTGTAAAAAAATATTTTTTTTGGTAAAAATACCTTTGATTTTTGGAAAAAATGTGAATCCTAGATTTTGATGTTCTTCAGCGGAAATTTTGCATTCGTAATGAGCTTTTAAAAAATATAATTTTTTCTTCGTAAGTCGCCACTGGATGAAAATACCCACTAAAATCCGCATTAAAAAAATCGTTTGTTTTCGTGAAAACACCTAAAGCATTTGTATTTTGGTAAAAATTGTTGTATCAGAGGTTATCGTTTTCTTCAAAGGAAATAGTGTATTGGATAGGGGCTTTTCAAACATATAATTTTATTGACTAAATTCTCATTTTTAAGCCTTAAGGTTTTTATGAAAATTTTGTCTATCTTTGAGTCCGCTTTACTCTTGCAGTGAAGATAAAAGGATTGGAAATTTTCAATATTTTGTTTAACAAACTTGTGAAATATTAAAGTTTTGTGTTTATTTCTCATACAATTATTTTTTTTTCCTTATTCTATTTTTTAACGGAAAGATACAATCAATCATTTCAATACGAAAAACAAATTAACGTAATTTTTGCAAAATACTAAGGGTAATAGCCTTTCTAGTTTTGATGAAAAATTAATTTTGATCAAACCGCCAAAATGAGCGTATTTAGAAGCAAAATTAAGAGTGTACCGTTTGATTGTATTTATTTCTTAGAAAAGCTCAATAATGAATCGTTACGACTTCAAATGAGAATATTATATTCCTTCCAAAGCTAAAAAACACAAACTTGTCTTAAGTAGACTAAAAACAAAGTTAAAGATGGACAAAATTTAGGATAAAGCTGTAATACACTTTTAGGTTTAGTCATTTTTAATGGAAATTTTCCTCTTTTTCAAACTATTTTATTAAATTTCTTCTTTTCAGAAGAAATTTAAATTGGAAGGTAGCTGGAATTTTGGAATTTTTTTTTCAAGCCTTGAATACTGGGAGTTTTGCATGAAAATACTTCCACTTTCAAAAACATATATCAAGTTGATATTTCTAATACAATAATACGAAAATAAAAAATTATGTAACTTTTAAAAAATAGCAAGGTAGTCTTGGTAGTTTTTATGAAAAAAAAATGTTTTGATACCGCTAAAAGTAAGCCTATTTTGAAGCAAAATTAAGTGTGATATATCTGATTATCTTTATTTTTTAGAAAACTAAATAATTAGGCATTTCGAGTTCCAATGAAAATATTATGTCGCTTCGAAAGCTAAAAAACACAAACTTGTCTTAAACAGAATAAAAAGTAAGTAAAAGACGGAATAGATATAGAATAAAGCCTTAATCAGCTTTAAGTTATGGAAATTTTGAATCAAAATTTCCTCTTTTTCAAACCCTTGTATTAACTTTCGTTTCTTGAGAAGCACAGTAATATCGAAGATAGTCCGAATTTCCAGAAAAAATTTAAGGCTTCAATATTGGAAATTTTGATGAAAATATTTCCATTTTGAAAAACATATATAAGGTTCATCTTTCTTGTGCAATAGTAGGAAAATATAAGTTTTATGAAATTTTCGTTAAATACCAAAGTAGTTGGTAGTTTTGATGAACAATTAATTTTTTTTCAAAACCTGCCAAAAAGAGCGAATTTTGAACAAAATGAAGCCTTTGTTTCTTTGAATAACTCCATAATGAAGCGTTTTGATTTTAAATAAGAATAATATATTGATTCAAACACACACACAAAATTGACTTAAGCTGAATAAAAGATGGAATAATTTTAGAATAAAGCCATAATAACCTTCTAGATATAGGAATTTTGAAGGGAAATTCTTGTTTTGAAAGCTCTTGTATTAAATTTATTTTCTTTAGAAGTATTGTAAATTCGAAGATACCCAGAATTTTCAAACAACAAATCAAGGCATTGATAAAGCAAGTTTGATGAAACGAGGTTAATCAATTTTCCTTCTTGTATTAAACGTAATCATAATATATATATATATATATATATATATATATATAATAATATATATATAATAATATATA